GCATCCAGGTTGATGCCTCTGCCACTTACCCTGAATCGGTTTCAATCTCTGTTGTTGCCAAACTTTTTGATCTCAAGATTGAGTATGAGTGGAGACCTATGCTATGTGGGATTTGCAATTCGCTAAATCACTCCACCAATGCTTGTCGCTCTAATCCCAACCCACCGCAAAAAACTGACCCGCAAAATTTTAGAGGTAGGAGTACCTGCCGGAGGCCTAGATTGAGGCCCCTGTCCCAAAACCCCAAGGGAATTTTGGCTACTCTTCAAGAGCCCCCCTTGCGTCTACTCAGACTAATCAAATTACTGTCCCTGATGAACCCAATTTGAATGATAAAGCTCCTGATCCCCAACCCGCTGTCGTCCCTGCTTCGGATGCCAATTATGTTCACCAGATTCCCAACTTAAACCCCCACTGCTGAAGCATCTTCATCCCACTCTAATCCACTTACCGAAGTTCAAAACACCTATAAGGTTGCCTCCCACAACAAATTCAGCATCCTTGCTGAATCACCGAAATCTGAAGCTTCTACCAGCTTGGTAACTGAGGATAGCCATGAATCTTCGACGCCTTGAGAGCCACCAATTGCTAACAATGCTTCCTCTAAGCCTGCTAGCACTCATGTACCAATTCTCCTTCTCCGTATCCTCCACCACCTAAAAACAAATCATGTCTACAATCAGGGACAAAGCAAGACTAGGGGAAGGGGCACCCGTAAAGGCCTTAACAATTCCCATAAACATTCATGACCTTTCCAACTATTGCGAGTTGGACTATTGGGGGTTTTAACAGCCCCGAGAAGGTTTTCGATTGTAAAAATCTAGTCTCAGATGAGAAGATTGATATTATGTTCTTGTTGGAAAATCACATTTCTTTTTCTAGTTTGCAAGATCCCTAGTTCCGTTTTAACCATACAATTTTTGAGGATGAGCAAAGTTTTAATAACTTTGATCTCACCTCTCCTGGTCGCATTTGGATTAAATGGAATTTGACTAATACCATTTTTAATCCAATCTCCTCTACTAGCCAGATGATATCGGGTGTTTTTAATTCTGGTCAAAGAAACCCTTTTTTGCTCTTTATTGTTTATGCATCCAACTCTTTTGATGAAAGATTCACTATTTGGGATGATCTTGTGAAGGTAAATCCTGGTAACTCTATGCCTTGGCTGGTGGTTGGCAACTTTGATTGTTGTAGATTTAATTCAAACAAAATTGGTGGGAATGTGGTTCCCATATCTAGAATGGCTCCTTTTAACAACTTTATTTTTGAAACCAATCTGTTGGAACTTCCTTCATCGGACTTATTTCACACTTGGTACAATCAGAGATCTGTAACCCAATTCACTTGAGGTTATATCGCATGCTTGCTAATGAAGCTTGGGTTAGCTCCTTTCCTAACTCCTGTTACAAAGTGGCTAATAGCTCTATTTCGGACCATACACCGTTGATTCTGCAACCTGTTACTGATATGAGAAGCTCTCCTAGATTCATGTTCAAAAACTTTTGGTGCCACATTCCTAAATTTTGGGATATTCTTATTTCCATTTTTGAAGCTCCGGCCGAGGGGAATCCCATTTTTACTCTTTATTAAAAGCTTAAGCTGCTTAAATGTCAAATAAAGACTAAATGTTGAGTTTCATCTAATCACATTATGGGTTTGTGCAATATATTGGCTATTCAATAGAGAGAATGTCAGGATCTTTTAGACTTAGATCCTCTCAATGGTGAGCTTTAATTTGCCATAGATTCAAAAAGCTGAGTGCTGATCTTGCCTTTTACAATGCTTCCTTCTCCTCTTGGGCTATCCAGAGAGCCAAAATTAAGTGGTTATCTATAGGAGAGGAAGATTTAAAATTTCTTTACTCTAAAATCTGGAATAGGCAGAACTTCAATAGAAGTGCTCTTAAGGCTTATACTTCTGGTTTGACTCATAGTAAAGATGATATCATTAGCAATATTGTTAACTACTTCCAAGTTTTATTTAGTGCTCATTCTCCTGATAATCTTGATATCAATTTATTCCCTCCAGGAAATACTATTCCTAGTTCTGATATTAATGGTCTCCTCAAGACTGTGACTAATGAGGAAATTAAAAATGTTATTTTTTTGGGATGCTCTTCTTCTTCCCCTGGGCTAGATGGTTTTAATTTTGAATTTTATAAGAAGAATTGGAGCATCACATGCATCTCTATTTGAAATGTTGTGAAAAGTTTCTTTACAAAGTGCTACCTCCCTAAAAGTGTGAAAGCAACTGCCATCTCTCTTATCCCTAAAAAGACTCATGTTGAGAGCATCCATGATTTTAGGCCATTTGCACTCTGTAATGTCTTCTACAAAATCATTGCTAAGATCATCGCCAACCGCATGAAGCTCATCATGCCCATCATCATCCACCAAAGCCAAGCTGCCTTTATTGCTAATAGATACTCCACTGATAACATCATTTTGGTCGGGGAAATTTTAAGCTTCTTAAAAAAGAAATCAAAGAATAAGTATTTCTTTGTGAAGCTTGACATTAGGAAAGCCTTCGACTCTGTTTCTAGAAGGTTTCTTTTTGAAGACTTGCTCAAAAAAGGCTTTCCTCCTAAATTCATTAGTTGGATCAAAGCATGTGTTAATAAAGTTAACTTTTTGTTAATGTTAATGGGACTTTGGAGGGGTTTTTCTCTTCTTCTTCTGGCATCAGACAAGGCTGTCCCCTCAGTCCGTATTTATTCTGTATCATCATGGATACTTTCTCCTATCTCATAGACTCTCCTCCCACCATCAAATCTTTTTAGGGCTTTAAGTATGAGAATTTCAGTATCAACCATCTTTCGTATGCTGACGATTTACTTGTCTTTGGCAAGGCAGATGCCTCTAATGCTACTCGGCTTGCTCAGATTCTTTCTATTTTCTCCAACAGCTCGGGTTTGCATCTTAATCTTAACAAAAGTAATATCATCATGCATAATAACTTCCCTGGCTATGCAGATATTTCCCATTCCCTTAATATCTCAAACATCTCCAGCACCATTACTTATCTTGGCTTGCCCATCTCTTTGGGGAGAATTAAGGTATCTGATTTCATCCCCCTAGTGGACATAGTCACTAGATTGTTTTCGGGTTGGAAAGCAAATTTACTCTCATTTGCTGGTAAAATGCAATTCATTACGTACATTATTAGCAATACGATTTCTTATTGGATTCGTGGAAGCTATGTTCCTAAAAGCATTATCAAAACTATTGGTAAGCATTGTGCTAAGTTTCTGTATTATGGTGGGTCTAATCAAAGGCAATTACACCTTATCTCTTGGGCTAATACATGCAAACCGGTTTCCAAAGGTGGCCTTCGCATTGCCTCCTTCCCTGCTCTAATTTTTTCTTATAACTATGGGGTTATTTATAGATGGTTTAATTATATTTCTCCCCTTACTGATTGGATGAATACTAGATATATTCCACCTTGGAAACCTAATCTTTCTAATGCATCTCTTTACTAGAAGAATATTTCTGGCACGACCAGGATTGCAAAGCCTAATTTTTCATTTTCTATTAATTTTAATAGTAATGCTGCCATTTTATGGGATCATTGGTTAGGAGGAGATGTTAGTACTGCTAGTCTTGATTATGTCTGTGGAATCAATGTTAGGCTTAATGAATGGATTAATGATATGGGCTGGTCTTTGCCTGACTCGATCTGTCCTTCTTTGAGAGATCTTATTTTGGATACTCCTATTTCAATACTTGATGGTCCTAATATTGTTTGAAAGAATTTGCCTAAACCAACCTTTAAAGACTTTTATTTAGAATATTTTTGCCTAGGATGATATTTTTAATTCTCACGCTTTGGTTTGGCACCACAAACACTCTTCTTGGTTTTCTGTTTATGCCTGGATGACTTTTGTGGTGGGCCTCAAAACTGTTGATGTACTTCTTAAGAGAAACATTTACATTCAAGATACATGTTGTTTTCTCTGTTGTACTCATTTAGAAACTATGAATCATATTCTGTTTGAATGTGATTATTCTTTCTCGGCGATGACTAGAATTATTCCAGCTTTTTTGAGTTTTTATCTAAGACCTAATATTGTTCAAGACTTTAATTTTGCCGGTAATCCGATGGTTAACCGCACTTTAAAAAGTGTGGTTCTTCTCTCTCTCTCTCTCTCTCAATGCTATTGTGTATCATTTGTGGATTGAGAGAAATGGCAGGCAGTATAACAATGTGGTTGTTTGTGCGGTTATCCTGTCTAAACAAATATTGAAAGTTCTTAACATCAAATTCTCGAGCTGGAAGAAAGGGGATTGGGTGAAAGACAGACACTTTTGTATGGCCTCGAGTTGATTGGTTGGGTTGTGCTGCCTATACAGTGATGTTTTGTTTAGCCTTCTAGACGCTTTCTTTGGCTTGCTAGGAGCCTTTGTTCTGTTGCCAATTGGTGAGCCCCATCTGGAATATGTTGCTTGGTTGCTTGTTTCATGAGTTTTGTATGGAATTTTTGTCAGGCTTTTTTGGGGGTCTGGACAATGATGAGACCTGCATATTGCTTCATTCGGAGGGTCTTCAGGCAACCAGGGAAGTGACTTATCTGATTACTGATTATTTTGCTTATTGAGTCCACTCCGACAGGGCTTTTCTTGTCATCTGCTTCCCAGCTTTTCTATTTATTGTTTTTGCTTTTCTGATTTTCTTCTATTGTTTTTTGTTCTTTGATTCTTTGATTCTTTTTTGGGCCCGTTGATCTTTACTTGTACACCATTCTTTTTTATAATGGTTTGGACTAAGCACTCAATTTTCCAAAAAAAAAAAATAAATAAATAAAATAAATAAAAATGTTAAATTCCCCAAAAGAATTTCTTCCCAGCGCAAAAGGCTGCAAAAAATTACATTTCAACCCTCCCTTTCTTCGGCTACTTTTGATTTCTATTTTCTCAGAAATATTTTCCCGTTAACGTTCCCCCACTACGCCACTACCGTCCCCACGGCTTCTTTCCTTCCCCGCCGGTTATCGTGTTTTACTCTGTATCGCTTTCTCTCTCTAAGGTCACACCTTTCACTTTCTAGACTCCTGTCTCCTTCCTCACCTGCTCTGTCAATCCGTTAACCCAATCTCTCTCTCTCTCTCTCTGTGCTTCTTTTTCTTCCTTAGCGAAGCAGCAAACTGAATGGGCCACTCAATTTTCCCAGAAAAAAGCAGCAAACTAGCTGTGGAGCTAGCTATAGTTCAATGTAGTTGATGTAGATTGGTAAAGCATTATAAATTAGACTTTGAGAATGAACGAAATCTCTCAACGGTAATGATTATGGCAGCTGTGACTACGACCAGCTGCGGCAGTACTCGAGCATTTACCAAATCTTCATCTTCGATATACCAGTCGGAGAAGGACGACGCATCCATTAATGAAGCTTTCAGCGGCCGCGGGAGACCCCGCAACAAGGAAACAACGTCGAGCTATATCGGTTCCTCTATTATATCCTCAGCAAAATGCAACTCTTCATGTATTCCCACCATTTCATCTTCGTCCTCCACCTTGTCTTCTACTCCTCCACGATCTGAATCCGTCGTTTCGGTGTCCGACGCTGCAACAAGGACGGTGTTACCATCGACCACTCGAAGCCTACCTGTATCCTTCCAGGGCGAATCATTCTTTTTCCAGACCAAGGAGGCCAAACCCGCACCACGAAAGCCCGCCATAGAGTGCCGTGAAGCCAATGTGGTCGGGATCGAAAACTCCCAGTCCGATCGATGGCCGGCGACGAGAGCCAGAGAGCCGAATTCGGCTACGAGCAGCTTGGATTGCTTTTCAAATAAGGAACATTCCCTTTTGGTGACTGTTCAGTTTCTTCATCAGTCATTGCTGTCTGACGAGGTCGTTAATTTCAACATTGGCGATCGAACCCAGTCACTGAATTCCGAAATTGTCTCATCTGGAAGCAGTTCAAGTTCGCCGGAGCCGGGATTTCCGGCGAAAGTGCATGCTAAACCTCCTGGAATTTGTATTCCTGCGAGATTCCGGCAGGAGAATGGCTGCCCTCAACCTCAAGCCCAAAGCACTCCAAAGATGCTCACTAAAAAGCAGCAGACATTATCTAACACCCAACTGGCATCTTCCAGATTTGTGTCTTCTCCCCCATCCGGACCCGTTAACTCTTCTTCTCCCAAAGACATTGGGGTTTCAAGGATTAGAAGGAATATCATGGAGAGCTACTCTAATGGTTCAGCAGGCAATGCTCCTTCCATTATAAGCTTTGCTTCTGAGGTAAGGAGAAGAAAGAAAGGGGAGAGCCGGATCGAAGACGCCCATCTGCTGCGGTTGTTCCATAATCGGTATCTGCAGTGGCGGTATATCAATGCGCGTGCTGAAAATACAATTTCAACTCAGATGATGAACACACAGGTATGCAGCTCTGTTGATCTTCTAGACTCTCGATGAATTTCTTACTCTTTTATCTTCTAGTTGTCAAATTAAACATAATATATTGATCGGTTTTAGCTATCTAAACTGACTCAAAATTAGAGCTTAATCTACAAAGATTCATATGAATTGGGCATCTCCAACAGAAAATCCCATTTTTCACTTCAAAATACAATGAAAGTTAAAAATGCTGTGATTCATCTCCAATCAAACTCCATTTTGTGCGCTTCTGCCAAGATAACCGTCTTTCTCCTCTTTTGCGCGTTTCTTTTCCAAATCCGGTCGAGACAGAAAAATCGCGTAGGTGAACAGTGTGACCCCAATATTGACGTCACACTGTTCATGGGCAATCAAATAGGGGAAAAAATGAGATCGGATGGAGCGACGGAAGAACACGTTCGGTTGGAGATGCTTTTAATAACCAGTGATGATATTCTCTATAAAACAATCAATATTATTGGAAGTAATCATCAAATTCTTTTGCCTTCACTGGTTTCTTTGTCATTGCTGCATGATAGGAGCTAAAACCAGTCCTATTCTTTTTGTTTTTTTGGATTAAAAAAGCTGTAGTTTTCATAATCTAATGACTTCCTGTTGAACATTTTCAGAATAAATTATATTATGCATGGATGACCTTCTCAGAATTGCATGGTGCAGTAATGAATAAGCAAGTAAATCTTCAAGTATTGAGGCAAAACTTGAAGTTAGCTTCCATTCTGATGGGACAAGTAAGGACTAAGTCGCGATTTTATATTTTCTTACATTTTTCTAGATTAAAGCAGAGGAAAAAATTAGTTCATGATATCTTCATATGTATTATATGATGATGGGCTTGATATCATTCTATTTATTTTAAAATCAATTTTATATATGAAATATTTATATTGTACTAATCTCAAAATAAATATAATAATATTTATGCCCATTCAAATATAATTTTTTTCAAATACTCAGGCATAATTCTTTTCATTAATAAGCCTACTTCCCCTTCTATATTTCCTTTTTTTCTTTTCAGTGCACTAATTCTTTCTTTTTTAGTCGCATTTTGTCATTGCTTATGGTAATGATGCTTGTACATCCTCTGTTAATTTCTATGACTTCATTTTTAATGCCACGGTTTCTTAATAAAATTTCTTCTATATTTACGTTGGACAATTAACATTTCATCATTACGGTTGTTGTTTGTCAGTCATTAGCACTAAGCTAGAGCTAAGTTTCAGGCTTATTTATATAGTTGAATTATGCTTTGCCTATAATAAATACTTAATATAGGTTGAGAATATTTGTCCAAATGTCTATGGCTTCGTTTGGAACCGTTTTCTTCTTGCTTTCTAAAACAACTTTCTAATACAAAAAGTTTTTGAATTTGAAATTTTTGTTCTAAAAAATCATTTTAAAAAGCAGTATGAAAGCCATCCCAAACGAAGCCTATGTCTAAATTCGCAAATGCTTTGTTTGGATTAAAGGATCGTGAAGGAAATAAACTGAAATCCCAACAATTTGTTGTTTGATAACTTGGCCAAAAGAACTTTGTAATTACTCTATTTGATTCAGAACATGTGATAGTATTAATAGTTTCCCATATGTAGGACAAGCTTCATCCATCTAATCCTGAGTTGCCAAAGTTATTATTTGATGAGCCAAGGTTTTTAATCTTACAAGGCAAGGTTTTTAATCTTACAAGGCAAGGTTTTTGCTCCATATGATATGCAGATTGTGCACCTAGAAAAGTGGTATACTCTTGACGAAGGCCATGAAATTTCTTTTAAAGGAGCTATAGATGCATTGAAGGCCAGCACGCTTCGCCTTCCGGTTATTGGAGGCGCCAAGGTTTGTTTTCTCAAATGTAGGGGTGCAAACGAGTTTCGAACTCGAGCTTGAGCTCGACTCGTGAGCTCGATAAGCTCGGCTCGCGAGCCCATAAACAAGTCGAGCTCCAGCCGGCTCACGAGCCCAATCGGCTCACTTACACCCCTACTCAGATGTGAAGTTCTAGCTAATCTGAAAACAAAAAATGTTGAAGCAGCCCTAACTTTTCTGCTTATGTTCATTAGGTGGACATTAAAGAGGTAAAAGATGCAGTAAATTCAGCAGTTGGTGTCTTGCAGTCATTGATGGTTTCAGTATCTTCTTTACTTTCAAAGGTGAATGCCACCTCATTTTCATCTGCCATCGCTCTTAAAAAAGTCTCTACTAGTGGAGAGATTATTATGTGCGGCGTCTAAACCGTCCGGAGGCGAATCCGGACGCGCCATGTCACCCAGATGCACCGGGCCCCAGGTGATGTGGCGCATTCGAATTCGCCTCCAGACGAATCCAAATGCCGCACGTTATAATTTTTCCTACTAGCGAGCTAAAATGGAAAAAAATCTCTGAAATATTACTTAGTCATTTACTGCTTCAGGTGGAAAGAATCAGCTCCCTGGTATCTGAGTTTGGAAAACTGGCAGCACATGAAGAGGCTTTCCTCAACCATTGCAGAGATCTCATCTCAATTGTTGCAGCATTGCATGTAAGTTATATATATATATATATATATATATCCATGATCCATCTTTCATCTGCAGTCCTTGTAGGAATTCAGCAACTTAAACAAAATCATTAAAACTACAGGTGAAACAGAGTAGTCTTCAAAGCTACATGTTACAATTGCGAAGAAATAAGAAATAAAAGCAGTATTTCACCATCACTAACAGCAGTGGCCTTTCCCCTCTTTCTAAGAAGAGAATGGTTCATTCTAATTTCGCATGTTTTTGGCTGTTTTTTAAAAAAAAAATTTCCCTGGATGGTGAGCTAAAATGTTTTCAGGGGATTGTTCCTCTTCTCAAAAGAGTAATCAACAATTTAGTTTTTTTTTTTCTAGGTATTGCTTATTATGATGTTCATGTAAATTCAATTTCTTATTCCAGAATACATGTGAATGTTCTTTGTTTTAGCCCTGTAGCTTTGCATTGCCTTTTTAACATGCTTCAGTTATATTCTGTTCGGTTGTTTTAGGTGGATTTGGGAATTAGTTTTGCTAAACTACAATCAGAAAATCATGGCAATAGTAAAAACGACGGCCAAGGATTCGTTTGGAACGGCTTTCTTATCATTTCTTAAAACAATTTTTTAGTAAAAAAGTTTAATTTTTTAACTAGAAAGCTGCTTTAAGAAGCAATAAGAAAGGCTTCATTTGGGATGGCTTTTTTGCTGCTTCGTAAATCAGCTTTCTATCACAGTATAAAAAATTTGTACTAAAAAGCTGCTCTACGAAGCAGTAAGAAAGCCGTCCCAAATAAAACCTAAAACAAATTAAACTTTGGGTTTATAATTTTTCAGTGCACGTCTGTTTGAACCTGACTCAAGCCTTACAGGGGGAAAATAGACTTAGAGAAAGGGAAAGAAAAGACAGTAAAGCTCTCTTATTTCTAATGAGTTGTATTGATTACTGTTGACCCTTAACAAGGAAAAATGAACAGCGTGTGGATATAAAGAACATATAGAACATATAGCGGATAGGGGTGTCAATTCGGGTCAGCGGGTCGGGTTCGGGTCGAATCCGGAATTGACCCGGCACTGTTTGGGTCAACCCGAACACGACCCGTTTTTAAAAATGGGTTTGGTTTCTGGACCCGAACCCGACTGATTCGGGTCCGGGTCAACCCGACACGACAAGAATGACCCGAATTTGATCTAAAATTGCTAATTTTCGGGTCCAATATTCAATTTTCGGGTCAAAACGGGTCAATCTCCGATTTTCGGGTCAAATATGAGTTTTCGTGTCACTTTCGGGTCAATTTCAGGTTGCTTGGTCAACCCGAAACCGACCCGATTTTTAAAACGGGTTGATTTGTTCAAACCGAACCCTTTTCCGGGTCGGGTTCGGGTCGTGTTTCGGGTCATGTCAAAAATTGACACCCCTACCCTTCACAGTGCAGAACGATCAACCTTCCGACTCTTGCGACTGAACCCGCACAGTTTGATCTTCGTCAAATCACCTTCAGAAGAGCCCGCCGACTTCAAGATCTCCACTTCATTCGCATCTATCCATCCCTCTAGCTACAGTTCCATCGTTCACAGAAGCTCCGATCGACCCAATCAACTCCATGCCAGACTTTCAAATGACAGAGGAACTAAATACTTAATTGAACCACATGGGACATGACTTGAGCTGGACAACATGGAACTAAATACTTAATTGAACCACAGGGAATAGAACTTGTAATCACAGAGAGCTGAACTTTAAATTAACAAATGTACAATCATATTAAAATGCAATGCTAATTAATAATCCTGCTTATCCAAACAAACATCAATGAGCGATGAATGCTACTGCATCCCTCCAATCAATGCTAGCTAGCTTGCAGATGTTTGCAGTAGTCTCCTATGAACATAATGCCAATATGCATGTTGACGTAACAATTTGCCAATCAGTGTGCGTAGGGAGTATAATCGATTAATGCAGCAACTTGCTAACCAATGTGTATGAAGAAATTAGTGGTGAAGACAATTCACCCAACATCCTATAGCAACACACAAACGAACACGTTCACTTGCCTATAAACAACAAAACCTCTTGCAAACATATGTAGTGCAACACACGCTGAATACGAATGCTTCTGGCAATGATGGGAGATTTGTTATATGCACATTAGTATGCCAACGAGTGATAATCAACAACAAGCAATGAATGCTACGCCACCCTTACAGCCAAAGTGTCGAGCAAATGCACTAATCCCTTGAAAGCAAAGGAGGTCACTATGCATCGAATTCAAGCACCTGCGAGCTGCTGTAGAAAACTCATCATACATCCAACATGCTACCTACTAGCAAAATGCAGAAGAAATGTAGTGACCTCAAACATCTACGAATTGCACTAAAGATTTACATTCAACGTAGCTCATCCGCATATAATAATAAAAGCCTTGCAATGCATATAGCAGTTCTATCTACGAGTAATGACAATGGATGTATCACAAGAATGATGAATCCCCTACAGGAATAAAGGATGAGATTGTAACGAGTGTGATACACTATCTACATGCAAAAGTAACAAGGGTCATGATAAATGCAAGCATTTACGAACAATTGCAGGAGATTTGTTAGTGCATGATAGTCAATCTACATAAAGCATCAAATGACGTGCAGTGCAACACTACGATTCACCTTTAGGTAGAAATAGGAAATTTGTAGTAAAAACTGTAAGCCACTAATAAATTGAGGCAATAAAATTGAGGCACCAGGTCATCACGCCGGATTGATCAGGTTACTTATTAACAACAAGTTAAATATTCATGATGTGTCATATGGCTTGTTTGCAAGTTGAATTCTCTCCTTCATGTTAAGTTGAAGAAAAAAGATACTATGTAGAAGCCGAGATGAACTAAGATGTATCACCGATTCGCGATAAATGAAACTCAACTCTTGACACTATGCCACCGGATCCACAAGGCTCGTACAAGTGGATATAAGGCATTTGCAAATTTTAAAATAGAATATTGCACCCTCTTTCAATAATAGTCTTTTACGCAATTGATTATAAGCAAATATTTCAAAATGCCCCCTCATGTATTAAAATATGAATACTATCAAATATTCCTTCACCTAGGGGCATTAACTCATCTATAGGTCATGAGTGCAGAGGAGCCTCAACTCTCCTATAGAGAATAGTTTACCTCACATTTTAGCTTGATCTTGGATGGAAACTATGTTGGTTCCCACTGTAGTTGGCCACACTCGATTATTATGGAGTTACACATCCAAAACTCGCTGAATTTCTTTTTTTAAATTTTACAACGAGCTAACCCAAGAGGGAAGTCACTCGCACATTCCGCTTCGACGTTCTGAGTTCCCCAAGCATTAGAGCAACTATCATGAATGGGTGAGTCTTACTTATGTTTAGGCCTCGAGCAATGTTTAAAATTGCGTATTCGGGTATTGAGGCGTTTTTCATTCGTGAGGCGAGGTTCGTAAGCCCAAGGCGTTTTGAGGCTTAAGCCTCAAAATCAAAAGATTGCGTAAACATAAAATGATAAATTTTTTATATACTAATGAGTGAATAATATTAAACATAAAAAAGCATAAGATATGAATTGAAATCAAAATATTCCAATAATAAGACAACATGAAATATAGTTCAACTCAAAATTCTATCTTTCCCAAATCCCAGTATTCTTTTCATTAACATATAATTCCAATTTCTAAAAACAAATAGCAATGACATATCACATAAGAACTCATAAGTCATCAACACTGTCATCACTAAGGGGTTCTTCATTTGAATCATCATTATGATGAACTGCTCTATTCCCTTTCCCCTCTCCTATAGAGTCCAATGTCGGACATTTACTTCAAGATTTATGTAAGTTTTAATATACATAGCGTGAGGCGAGGCTGGCCTCAACCAAGTTGAGGCGCAAGCCTCATAAAAAAAACTCAAGGCGTAAGCATCGAGGCGTTTTTTACTGGAATTGAGCAAAGTCGGGCCTCAAGGCGAGCCTAATATAGCGCAATTTTAAACCATGGCCTCGAGGGAGCACGAGTACCCGAGAGTTCTTTGCATATTTATTTTAGATGCATTTATTTTGTTCATGAAGAACTCGCTAATGCCGAAGAGAATGAAAGAAAAGAGTGAAATCTTTTATTAATTTCTTTAAGGAAATACAAGTAAAGATACAAGAGTAAGGTCTTCCCTTTCATTATATATTTACCACCTTGTCCACTACTGGAAAGTAGCAAGTGCACAACTGGGTGAGGTCGCCTCTCACCATACTCTCTCATCCTTTAATTGGAAATTTTATTTTGATGTTGTATGTGGATACCTCAACCTTAAAAGAATTCAACAAGGGTTTAGGGAGTTGTAAGTTACTAGGGCATTAATGATGATGAAGTTTATCATCACCATGTATTGGTGGTCTCCCTCACCCTAAGTGACTGGTAGGGTGAGTACCTCTTTAGTGTCTTGGTGCTCGCCTGAGAAATCATAGAGCAATCTTGCAAAAGGAGTGAGTTGGGAAGTGAGCATGTCCATTTTGTCATAAATGGATTTAAAGAGCATGTTCGCAAACTTCCCATATTTATTAGAATGATGTTGATCTAATAGTTAGTGATTAGAATTGTGATGACCACAATGTAGTTTTGTGCGTTCCCTCTAGTTGGCATGTCCTCTTCCCTAAAGGTGATGGAGGCGACATCCATTTCTTGAGCTCATGAAATGGATGGCGAGTTAACTTATTTGACATGCATCTTCTTCGCACTCACTAAACGAGTTTTCTACTTTGCTCATTAATGAGTTTGCTACTCCTATGATGCAGATAAAGTGAGCAGGAACTTATTCGTTTGTGTTAACCTCTACTATGGCGTTCCCTTATCATCATCTTGAATCGACGAGCATGAATTCTTTTAGCTTTCTTGCCTTGATGATTTCTTTCATGATACCTTGCAGGTGGAAACCATCCATGTCATAGCCATGGTCCTTATGGAAGGACCAATACCTTAAGGTATAGTGGGTGTTTCATAAGTGATGGACACTTGAAGAACTTTTATTTAAAATGGTTATGAGCTCGACCATTGAAACTTTCACTTGAGTGTAGCTAGGACACGTTTGAGGTCCATGGACATCCTCTTCATTATATGGGAGAGTAGCGTGATGAAACTCCTCTACCTCATATGCTGGTGGCCCTACTATACTCAAGGGACTTGGCTCATGGGCACCCTTTATTCCTCATGACACTGGCAATCACACAGTGGGTTTGGTTTCATGTCCCTACCCCTAGGACATATTATATCTCGTTCTCTTCCCTAACAAAGATCTCTTCTTGGGTCAACTTCTTGATAGCGAGTGGTTGAGTAAGATTCAACTAAGTTCTACCTCATATGCTGGTGGCCCTACTATACTCAAGGGACTTGGCTCATGGGCACCCTTTATTCCTCATGACACTGGCAATCACACAGTGGGTTTGGTTTCATGTCCCTACCCCTAGGACATATTATATCTCGTTCTCTTCCCTAACAAAGATCTCTTCTTGGGTCAACTTCTTGATAGCGAGTGGTTGAGTAAGATTCAACTAAGTGAATATCTAAAAGGATTTTCCCTCAGTATTTGGGTTAAGGTAGCATGGGCCACTGTAGGCTCCAAGTCATTCATGTCTAACATCTCCTTATAGAACCTCGTGATGAAGCACCTTAGTGATTCTTCTTATCTCATCTTAATAGAGCCTGAGAGCTCTTATGGGGTCTCTAAGTACTAGCAAATCAATTGATAAACATTCCCTTGAAATAAACAGAGGTGATCACTCCCAATGGCAGATGATTGAATCACCTTAGCACTGACTCCTTGAGTGTTGTGAAAAAGAGCTTCATGATACTTATTAAGGGCATTGTCTATGTCAAAAAAACTAGGTTATGGAAGGTCACCAAATGATCAATGGGGTCAATTTTGCATCGATATGACTCCAAGTAAGGCACCTTGAACTTGGGAGGCGCCTTAGCCTTGGTGATCGCCCTAAAGAAGGCATTAGTCAATTCTTGTTCTCTTCTTCTAGCTCGCATAGTCAGTGAGCTATAGTCTCAATCACTCGTCTAAGTTCGAGTGAAGTTAGAAATGTGCTTTGAGGCAACTGCTCTCCTTGAGTGCTTTTGGAGAGCTACCGAATCATAGGATCCTTCCGGCGTACTATCAATTCGCACTCGCACTAGGATTGATTAGGGATTCATGGATTGTCTTCAATATTCTCTCTATTTGCTGCAATTCATGATGAGTGGTATATTCAGTATTCTCCATGCTCACAGAGGATTCCAGCCAAGGTAGCTTGTCAAACTGAATTTATTTTTTGGTCCTTTGCATTCATCTATATTCATCACACCTAAGAGGATGTTTGATCTGAATTTGTCCAATGGATGATGCCCAACTTTACTAACAAACCGATTTGATAAGCTGTGCGCCTATCGGTGAGAATGGAGAGTAGAGTGAATATATAGGGGGAGAACTAGGAAAATTTTCACCATCTCAATTAAAAAATGCAAGGAAAAGGCGAAAGATCTAAAGTCCCCATCTAAAGGTGAGAAAAAGGTCAAGAAAAAGGCTCTAAAGTGTTCCTCATCACCCCTTATTTATATCATTTTGAGACCCACGGGAAAAGCTATATAGAGAAAAATTAAAATACATGCGATACAAAATACTAGTACAACACTATACGACAATCTAGGATACATGCCACCTCCTAATTGACTGTGTATGTGGGCAAAGTTGACAATCAAACAAGCTGTTTGTTGTCG